ACACATGGTCCATCTAATAGAGACCACCAGGGCTGCCGAGAGGATTAAATGACACACGACACATGGTGCCCCCATCTAATAGAGACCACCAGGGCTGCCGAGAGGATTAAATGAAACACGACACATGGTGCCCCCATCTAATAGAGACCACCAGGGCTGCCGAGAGGATTAAATGACACACGACACATGGTGCCCCCATCTAATAGAGACCACCAGGGCTGCCGAGAGGATTAAATGACACACGACACATGGTGCCCCCATCTAATAGAGACCACCAGGGCTGCCGAGAGGATTAAATGAAACACGACACATGGTCCATCTAATAGAGACCACCAGGGCTGCCGAGAGGATTAAATGAAACACGACACATGGTGCCCCCATCTAATAGAGACCACCAGGGCTGCCGAGAGGATTAAATGAAACACGACACATGGTCCATCTAATAGAGACCACCAGGGCTGCCGAGAGGATTAAATGAAACACGACACATGGTCCATCTAATAGAGACCACCAGGGCTGCCGAGAGGATTAAATGAAACACGACACATGGTCCATCTAATAGAGACCACCAGGGCTGCCGAGAGGATTAAATGAAACACGACACATGGTCCATCTAATAGAGACCACCAGGGCTGCCGAGAGGATTAAATGAAACACGACACATGCCCCATCTAATAGAGACCACCAGGGCTGCCGAGAGGATTAAATGAAACACGACACATGGTCCATGTAATAGAGACCACCAGGGCTGCCGAGAGGATTAAATGAAACACGACACATGGTCCATCTAATAGAGACCACCAGGGCTGCCGAGAGGATTAAATGAAACACGACACATGGTCCATCTAATAGAGACCACCAGGGCTGCCGAGAGGATTAAATGAAACACGACACATGGCGCCATCTAATAGAGACCACCAGGGCTGCCGAGAGGATTAAATGAAACACGACACATGGTCCATCTAATAGAGACCACCAGGGCTGCCGAGAGGATTAAATGAAACACGACACATGGTCCATCTAATAGAGACCACCAGGGCTGCCGAGAGGATTAAATGACACACGACCACATGGTGCCCCATCTAATAGAGACCACCAGGGCTGCCGAGAGGATTAATGAAACACGACACATGGTGCCCATCTAATAGAGACCACCAGGGCTGCCGAGAGGATTAAATGACACACGACACATGGTCCATCTAATAGAGACCACCAGGGCTGCCGAGAGGATTAAATGACACACGACACATGGTGCCCCCATCTAATAGAGACCACCAGGGCTGCCGAGAGGATTAAATGAAACACGACACATGGTGCCCCCATCTAATAGAGACCACCAGGGCTGCCGAGAGGATTAAATGAAACACGACACATGGTGCCCCCATCTAATAGAGACCACCAGGACTGCCGAGAGGATTAAATGAAACACGACACATGCCCCCATCTAATAGAGACCACCAGGGCTGCCGAGAGGATTAAATGACACACGACACATGCCCCCATCTAATAGAGACCACCAGGGCTGCCGAGAGGATTAAATGAAACACGACACATGGTCCATCTAATAGAGACCACCAGGGCTGCCGAGAGGATTAAATGACACACGACACATGCCCCATCTAATAGAGACCACCAGGGCTGCCGAGAGGATTAAATGAAACACGACACATGCCCCATCTAATAGAGACCACCAGGGCTGCCGAGAGGATTAAATGACACACGACACATGGTCCATCTAATAGAGACCACCAGGGCTGCCGAGAGGATTAAATGAAACACGACACATGCCCCATCTAATAGAGACCACCAGGGCTGCCGAGAGGATTAAATGAAACACGACACATGGTCCATCTAATAGAGACCACCAGGGCTGCCGAGAGGATTAAATGAAACACGACACATGGTCCATCTAATAGAGACCACCAGGGCTGCCGAGAGGATTAAATGACACACGACACATGCCCCATCTAATAGAGACCACCAGGGCTGCCGAGAGGATTAAATGACACACGACACATGGTCCATCTAATAGAGACCACCAGGGCTGCCGAGAGGATTAAATGAAACACGACACATGGTCCATCTAATAGAGACCACCAGGGCTGCCGAGAGGATTAAATGAAACACGACACATGCCCCATCTAATAGAGACCACCAGGGCTGCCGAGAGGATTAAATGACACACGACACATGGTCCATCTAATAGAGACCACCAGGACTGCCGAGAGGATTAAATGAAACACGACACATGCCCCATCTAATAGAGACCACCAGGGCTGCCGAGAGGATTAAATGAAACACGACACATGCCCCATCTAATAGAGACCACCAGGGCTGCCGAGAGGATTAAATGACACACGACACATGGTCCATCTAATAGAGACCACCAGGGCTGCCGAGAGGATTAAATGAAACACGACACATGGTCCATCTAATAGAGACCACCAGGGCTGCCGAGAGGATTAAATGACACACGACACATGGTGCCCCATCTAATAGAGACCACCAGGGCTGCCGAGAGGATTAAATGAAACACGACACATGGTCCATCTAATAGAGACCACCAGGGCTGCCGAGAGGATTAAATGACACACGACACATGGTGCCCCATCTAATAGAGACCACCAGGGCTGCCGAGAGGATTAAATGAAACACGACACATGGTGCCCCATCTAATAGAGACCACCAGGGCTGCCGAGAGGATTAAATGAAACACGACACATGGTCCATCTAATAGAGACCACCAGGGCTGCCGAGAGGATTAAATGAAACACGACACATGGTCCCATCTAATAGAGACCACCAGGGCGAACCTGCGGACCAGCAAAGGGAGGCTTCTCAGATCACTGCAACAAGAGAGGGCACCTCAGAGGACCCACGGGGCAACTCTAACCAAGCAAGCCCACAGGATTACCATAGGGTATTGGAGAAGGGAAGGATGTAGGTGAGATTTAAATAAAGCACTGTTTTCGTAGACTCAAAGCAAAACACGACTGTGTATAAAGGAATTATGGTCAGATCTGGGCTGTGAAGTGGATGGAGGTTCGTTCCTCTTTCCTTGGAAATGATGGAGTTAAGATAAATGTGCAATGCTGCGTCCAGAAAGCCCTGGGTTGGAAATCAAGGCTGCTTCTCAGTGTTAAAATGACTCAGGTCCTTCAGACAAAAGAAGGATATTCCGTTCTTACTCTATTTATATCAAATAGCACAGTTTATGACAGTCTGTGCTTTTTCAGGAATAGGATTTTTCAGCACTGTAACTTTTTGTTGATTAACAAAAGCAGTTTGAACAGGTTCACATATGTAAATATGTGAAGCCTGGCATATGGTGAGCATTCAATAATAGTTTCCCCTTTCCCGCCTCAGTCATCTCTTCTCTCTCTCACTTTCAGCCTCAGTGTCTTCTCCTGCCTACTCCCTATCAAGGAAAAGTCCCATAAGGTGTCCAACAACCTCCCCAGCTAATGCACCCGGTAAGTAGAGGAAACCCCCAGAGCAGGAGCCGCCATCTGTTCACAATAGCCAAAAGGTGGGAACAACCCAAGTGTCCACCAACAGATGATGAATAAACACAGTGAGGTCTGTTCATACAATGGAACATGACTCAGCTTTAAGAGGGAAGGAAATTGACACATGCTACAATGTGAATGAACCTTGAAGACGTTACGCTAAGTAAAATTAATCACGCACAAAAGGACAGTACTGTAGGACTCTACTTACGTGAGATGTCTAGAATAGTGAAATTTATAGAGACAGAAAGTAGAATGGCAATTGCCAGGGGCCAGGTGGAGGGGAAGTGGGGAGTTGGCATTTAATGGGACAGAGTTTCAGTGTGGGGTAATATAAAGCTCGGGAAATGAAGATTGCACAATGTGAATGCATTTAACACCACTGAACTGTATGCTTAAAAATGGTTAAAGTCTGGGCACAGTGGCTCATGCCTGTAATCCCAGCACTTTGGGAGGCCAAGGCGGGTGGATCACCTGAGGTCAGGAGTTTGAGACCAGCGTGACCAACACGGTGAACTCCCATCTCTACTAAAAAATATGCAAAGTTAGCCAGGCATGTGGCATATGCCTGTAATCCCAGATACTCGGGAGGCTGAGGCAGGAGAATCACTCGAACCCAGGAGGCGGAGGTTGTAGTGAGTTGGGATTGGGCCATTGCACTCCAGCCTGGGAGACAAAAGTAAACTTCGTCTCAAAAAACAAAATGGTTAAAGTGAGCTGGGCAAAGTGGCTCAGACCTGTAATCCCAACACTTTGGGAGTCTGAGGTGGGTTAATCGCTTGAGGCCAGGAGTTTGAGACCAGCCTGGGCAACATGGCGAAACCCTCTCTCAACAACAACAACAAAAAATACAAAATTAGTCAGGCATATTGTGGCTTGCATCTGTAGTCCAGCTGCTTGGGAGGCTGAGGTGGTAAGATCACTTGACACTGGGAGGTCCAGGCTGCAGTAAGCCATGATCACACTACTGCACTCCAGCCTGGGTGACAGAGTGAGACCCTGTCTAAAAAAAAAAAAAAAGATTCAAGTGGTAAATTTTATTTTATGTTACATGCTTTTTTCTTCCTTCCTTTTCTCCCTTCCTTCCTTTTCTCCCTCCCCCTCCCCCTCCCCCTCCCCCTCCCTCTCCCTCTTTCTTAGATGGGGTTTTGCTTTTGTTGCCCAGGCTAGAGTGCAATGGCGCAATCTTGGCTCGCCACAACCTCTGCCTCCCAGGTTCAAGCCATTCTCCTGCCTCAGCCTCCCAAGGAGCTAGGATTACAAGCATGTACAACCATACCTCACTAATTGTGTATTTTTAGTAGAGATGATGTTTCTCCATGTTGGCCAGGCTAGTCTTGAACTCCCTATCTCAGGTGATCCACCTGCCTCGGCCTCCCAAAGTGCTGGGATTACAGGTATGAGCCAACACGCCCAGCCTATGTTATGTGCATTTTATCAGTATTTTTTAAAGGCTTCATCTGCCTATTCCCACTGAGAATAAGACTCTACCTGTGACCCAAGCTTCAGAATGAATGAGAAAGTCCAGAGAGAAGCACTGTGTGTCTCCTGAGCACCTCCAGGAAGAGGTACATGTTCCCTGTTGGGTCTGCCCAGTTCCTTCTATGGGTACATTAGCCCAGATTCTTCACCCTGAGAACGTTAAGCCCTGTGTTAGTTAAAATCAAGCTAAACTGCTGTGATAAGTTATTTCAAAATACAATGGCTTAAAACTGTAGAGTCTTCTCTCTAAAGTAACAGCTATGGAGTGAGCCACCCAGGTTGGAGGGTGGCACTGATCTTCCCGGTCATTCTAGACTTCGGTTCCTTCCCTGTCACTGCTTGAGTGTCCCCAAGGACACAGTGGGGGTCTGCATGGTAGACCTTCCCTGTCACTGCTCGAGTGTCCCCAAGGGCACTATGGGGGTCTGCATGGTAGAAGTTGGAGTGCCCCAAGTCCAACAATTCTGCCTGGTGGAAGAGGAAAGAGGACCCTGCTAAGGATTTGGGATTATCACCTCCACTCCCATCCCACTGGCAAGGCCTGGGGTGCCCACTGGGGGAGCTGTGCAGTGAAGTGTAGCAGGCAGCGAGTACCTGGCTGCAGTTCTGTGACTATGAAGGAATTTCCGGAATCTGCAACTTTGATTTTGGTCACTTGCCCTAAAGCAACAATCACTCTCAACTCTGGTGCTTGGGGACAGTTCTTTGTGCCAATCCAGAAAGATGGCCTGGGTGACTAGAACTCAGAATAGACACCTGAGAGTCCCTTAAGAGTTAGACAGAGGAGGTTTGCAGCCATAGCTCCACCTGCCGTGTGGTGACAGTGTCCCACCAGCTGCTGAGTGGGGCAAGTGACTTGTTGCTAGTAACATAAAGTACTCGTGTCTGCAAACCACTTACTCTTTTATCTAAATCAGACAGTAATCAAAGTTAGCTTTTTATTAATTTTTTTTGAGATGGAGTTTTGCTCTTCTTGCCCAGGCTGGAGTGCAATGGGGCGATCTCAGCTCACTGCAACCTCCGCCTCCCAGGTTCAAGTGATTCTCCTGCCTCAGCCTCCCAAGTAGCTGTATTTTTAGTAGAGACGGGGTTTCTCCATGTTAGTCAGGCTAGTCTGGAACTCCCGACCTCAGGTGATCCGCCCACCTCCCAACTCCCGAAGGATTATAGGCATGAGCCACCACCCCGGCCTAAAGTTAGCCCTTTAATAACATCACTTTCACTCATGAAAACTCATGAGCTTCCTAAGTGGAAGAAAAAGGGACAGTGATCCCAGTGGGCTGGAGCTGCTGTGGGTGTGTTTGTGCGTCAGGAAAGAATTGCAAGTGTGAAGGATTTGAACAGTCGAAGAAGTCTTGGGGAAAGAGCTTGAATGTGGGCATCGAGGAACTTGGGTTCTGGCTTTTGATATGTCCTTAACTAAGTTGAACGAGGACATTCCTTGAAAGCCTATACTGGGCCAAGCACATTCTTGGCCCAGTGTGGGTCTTGGGCACGTCACATGACATCTCTCCCTTGCCTGTTGCCTCCACCCTCTGCCCCCAACAAAACAGAAGGTTGAATTCATGTCCCCTGAGACCTTCTTCAATTCTGCTACAACCGGAGTCTATGAAGTAGAAGCTCACCCTCTGATTTTGGGAAGCAAACTAACTGCGGAAATCAGGAAGACTGTACCAAGAAAAAATCCCAGTCACATTGGATGACTTGAGTCCAATTGCAAGAAAATTTCAGAAAAACCTAAATGAGAATGTCGTATTTTTAAAAGTGGGGAGCTGGGATTGTGTACTTCCGAAGTGTCGATGCCAAAAAAAAAAAAAAAAAAGCACAAAAAGGCCCTCAACATGTTTCAAACGAATAGAGGCTGAAGTTTAGTCCAACACCTGACTCTAGACTGGAGCCTGTAAAAAAGAGAGGAAAATGGTGTTTGTTTTCTTGTTTTTTAAAAAGGACATTAATGGGTTATTAGACAAAATCAATTAGATGAAGTATTGTATCAGTGTTAAATTAGGCCAGGCACAGTGGCTCATGCCTCTAACCCCAGCACTTTGAGAGGCCAAGGTGGGTGGTTCACCTGAGCTCATGAGTTCAAGACCAGCCTGGGCAACATGGTGAAATCCCATCTCTACTAAAACAAAATACAGAAAATTAGCCGGGCATGGTGGTGAGCACCTGTAGACCTGGCTACTCAGGAGGTTGAGGCATGAGAATTGCTTGAACCTCAATCAAAAGCAAGCTAGTTACTTCCTAGATACAGTGGGGGTACAGGTATTGGATAAACGCAGCCATTCCAAGTGGGAGAAATTGGCCAAAACAAAGAGGCTACAGGCCCCATGCAAGTCCAAAATCCAGCAGGGTGGTCAAATTTTAAGGCTCCAAAATGATTTTCTTTGAGTCCAGGTCTCACATCCAGGTCATGCTGATGCAAGAGGTGGTTCCCATGGCCTTGAGCAGTTCTGCCTCTGTGGCTTGGCAGGGTAGAGCGTCCCTCCTGGCTGCTTTCGTGGGCTGGCATTGAGTGCCACTTTTCTGGAAAGTGGTATAGGCTATTGGTGGCTCTACCTTTCTGAGGTCTGGAGGAAGGTGGCCCTCTTCTCACAGCTCCACTAGGTGGTGCCCCAGTAGGGACTCCGTGTGGGGGCTCTGACCCCACATTTCCCCTCCCACACTGCCCTAGCAGAGGTTCTCTAGGATGACCCCACCCCTGCAGCAAACTTTTGCTGGTGCATCCAGGCATTTCCATACAACTTCTAAAATCTAGGTGGAGGTCCCCAAACCTGGCAGGCTCAATACCACGTGGAAGCTGCCAAGGCTTGGGGCTTCCACCCTCCGAAGCCACAACATGAGCTGTGTGTTGGCCCCTTTCAGCCTCAGCTGAAGCAGCTGCGACACAGGGAACCAAGTCTCTAGGCTGCACACAGCATGGGTACCCTGGGCCCTGTCCACAAAACCACTTTTTCCTCCTGGACCTCCAGGCCTGTGATGGGAGGCGCTACCAGGAAATCTCTGATGTGGCCTGGAGACATTTTCCCTCTGGTCTTGGGGATTAACATTAGGTTCCTTGCTATTTATGCAAATTTCTGCAGCTGGCTTGAATTTCTCCCCAGAAAATGGGTTTTCCTTTTCTCTCGCATAGTCAGGCCGCACATTTTCCAGACTTTTATGCTCTGCTTCCCTTATAAAACTGAATGTCTTTAACATTCACCCAAGTCACCTCTTGAATGCTTTGCTGCTTAGAAATCTCTTCTGCCAGATACCCCAAATCATTTTCCTCAAGTTCAAAGTTTCACAAATCTCTAGGGTAGGGGCAAAATGCTGCCAGTCTCCTTGCTAAAACATAACAATAGTCACCTTTACTCCAGTTCCCAGCAAGCTTCTCATCTCCATCGGAGACCACCTCAGCCTGGACCTTATTGTCCATATTGCTATCAGCATTTTGGGCAAAGCCATTCAACAAGTCTCTAGGAATTCCAAACTTTCCCATGTTTTCCTGTCTTCTGAGTCCTCCAAACTGTTTCAACCTCTGCCTGTTACCCAGTTCCAAAGTCGCTTCCACATTTTCAGGTAACTTTTCTGCAGCGCCCCCTTGTATTGGTACCAATTTACTGTTAGTCTGTATTCTTTTCTTTTCTTTCTCTCTCTCTTTCTTTTTTCCTTCTCTTCTCTTCTCTTCTCTTCTCTTCTCTTCTCTTCTCTTCTCTTCTCTTCTCTTCTCTTCTCTTCTTTCTTTCTTTCTTCCTTCCTTTCTTTCTTTCTCTCTCTCTCTCTCTCTTTCTTTTTTGAGATGGAGTCTTGTTCTGTCACCCGGGCTGGAGTGCAGTGGCATGATCTTGGCTCACTGCAACCTCTGCCTCCCAAGTTCAAGCCATTCTCCTGTCTCAACCTCCCCAGTAGCTGGGACTACAGGCATGAGTCACCAGGCCTGGCTAATTTTTGTATTTTTAGTAGAGATGGGGTTTCACCATATTGGTCAGGTTGGTCTCGAACTCCTGACCTCAGGTGATCCACCCACCTCAGCCTCCTAAAGTGCTGGGATTACAGGTGTGAGCCACCATGCCCAGCCTATTAGTTTGTTTTCATGCTGCTGATTAAGACATACTCCATACTGGGAAGAGAGGTTTAATTGGTCTTACAGTTCCACATGACTGGGAAGCCGTAGAATCATGGCATGAGGCAAAAGGCACATCTCACTTGACAGCAGAAAGAGAAAAATGAGAGAGAAGTGAAAGCAGAAACCCCTTATAAACTCATCAGATATTGTGAGACTTACTACCACGAGAATAGCATGGGAAAGACCAGCCCTCATGATTTAATTACCTCCTTCTGGGTCCCTCCCACAACACATGGGAATTCTGAGAGATACAATTCAGGTTAAGATTTGGGTGAGGACAAGTCAAATCACATCAGCTCATGACTCCCTTGGAATGAAGCTCAAGAAATAGGAGATGCAATTAAAGAAAATCTATTTCTCGGGATGTCTGTGGTGAGGCGGTGGCCTCTCTTCTGAATGCTGCTTTTCTTTTCTGGTCTGGAGGACCACAGCATGGCCCCATCCCATGGGCATGGCTGACAGGACTGGACATATGATCCACAGCTGTCAAGAGTCTGTCCCCTGAAGTTGGAATCTGGCTTACAAATTTGTATTCATAGGCTAGGCACAGTGGTATACCTATAATCCCAGCACTGTGGGAGGCTGAGGCAGGAGGATCGCTTGAGCTGAGGAGTTTGTGAGCAGCCTGAGCAAGATGGGGAAACCCCATCTTTACAAAAAATACAAAATTAGCCAGGCATGGTGGCTTGTGCCTATAGTGCCAGCTACTCGGGAGGCTTGGGTTGGAGGACCTCTTAAGCCGAGAAGGTCGAGGCTGCAGTGAGCCGTGACTGTGCTGTTGCACTCCAGTCTGGGTGACAGAGTTAGAGCCCATCTCAAAAAATAAAAAAAATAAATAATTTGTGTTCATTCTCAGCTTGTCCCTTAAGTGGGTTGAATTGTGTCCCCAAAAAGATATGTTGAACTCCTAACCCCCGGTACCTCAGAAGGTGACCTGACTTAAAAACAGGCTTCTTGCAGATGTAATTAAGAAGTAGTCCCACAGGAGTAGGGCAGACCCTAATCCAATAGGTCTGGTATCTTTATACAAAGAGGAAGAGAGAGCCACACAGGGAGAATGCCCTTTGATGGCTGAGGCAGAGCTCAGGCATGCGAGCCACAAGTCGTGGAAAGACAAAGACTGCCAGAAGACCCACCAAAATATGAGAGGGACAAGGAGAGAGCACCCGGGCTTTCAGAGGGAGTATGGCCTGGCCAGTCCCTTGATTCCAGACTTCCAGCCTCCAGAACTGTGAGACAATACATTTCTGTAGTTTTCACTACATGGCACTTTGTATGGCAGCGCTAGGGACCTGAAACAATGGTCACCCCCGATGTGGAAGAAGAAAGAATGGAGCAGATGTGCTAAGAGATGGAGGAACGAGCAACAATGAGCTCACAGCCCAGTGCCCAGTGCCTTTCACGGCTTAGTTCTGGTCTTTGCCTGGAGACAGGCTAGACCCCTGCCCTGGGCTCTGTGAGACAGCCCCTGTCCTTAACACACAAGCCTTCTTCTATTTAAGCTTGCTTGAGCCAGATTTTGCTTGTAACCAAATACAAATGACAAGTACAGTGGTCAGTGCAATATTACAAGAAAAGAAGGAAGGGAAGTGAAATGTCTGGCAAAGGGACTAGTTAAAGGAATGACAGTTATTCATGAGTAAGACATTCAGAATAATAACAAAGTCAAGTTATTGAAGTTTATGTTAAGATGGGAAACGTTCAATAAAACGCTATGTTTAAAAAAAATAAGCCCATACATGAAATATGATCCATATACATATTGACACAAGAACAAAGACTGGAAGGGCCAGGCACAGGGGCTCACACCTGGAATCCCAGCACTTTGGGAGGCCGAGGCAGGCGGATCACCTGAGGTCAGGAATTCGAGACCAGCCTGGCCAACATGGTGAAACCCCATCTCTACCAAAAATATAAAAATTAGCTGGGCGTGGTGGCAGGCACCTGTAATTCCAGCTACCCAGGAGGCTCAGGCAGGAGAATTGCTTGAACCCGGGAGGCGGAGGTTGTAGTGAGCCGAGATTGCACCACTGCACTCCAGCCTGGGCGACAAGAGTGAGACCCTGTCTCAAAAAAAAAAAAAAAAAAAAGATGAAAACACTTTACATAACCAAAGTTCGTTGACTTCTAGAGCTGGGGGCACATACTCAGGATGTTCTTTGGGTGCTCAGTACCTAAGCACAGAGTGGGCGAGGCTGGGTGAGTAGGATCTGAGACCATTTCAGCAAGTCCTGTTGGCCATGGCTGCAAGCTGGGCCCATCAAACGCAGCTCCAGGCCGCTGGCCCTGGAAGAGACAGAAGGGACAACGATCATATTTTATGAAGTACAACAGACGATTCCTCCTGCAGACCCCTGATCACCAACTGGAAAAGAATGAGCCTGATGATTTCAGGAGCTGGAAAGAACAGTCCAGGAACACTGATTTTGTTTCCAGGATAATGAACAGAATTAGTAACTGGAATTCCCACCTCACTTCATACAGTGAAAAATGATGATGATGATAAATAATATATGGTAACGTCTGCGTGTGCTTCTCTCCACATTTTAATATATTTTTATTATTTATTTATTTGTATTTCTTGGAGACAGGGTCTTGCTCTGTTGCCCAGGCTAGAGTGTAGTGACATGATCACGGCTCACTGCAGCCTTGAATTCCTGTGCTCAAGTGATCCTCCTGCCTCAGCCTCCCAAGTGGCTAGGACTGCAGGTATGCGCCACTATACACCTGTCTATTTTTCTTTTTTTTTTTTTTTTTTTGAGAGAGAGTTTCACTCTTGTTACCCAGGCTAGAGTGCAATGGCGCGATCTCGGCTCTTCGCAACCTCCGCCTCCTGGGTTCAGGCAATTCTCCTGCCTCAGCCTCCCGAGTAGCTGGGATTACAGGCACGCGCCACCATGCCCAGCTAATTTTTGTATTTTTAGTAGAGATGGGGTTTCACCATGTTGACCAGGATGGTCTCGATGTTTTGACCTCGTGATCCACCCGCCTCGGCCTCCCAAAGTGCTGGGATTACAGGCATGAGCCACCTGTCTATTTTTAATTGTTTTTCCTTCTTTTTAATTTTTTTGGTAGAGATGGAGTCTCACTATATTACCCAGGCTGGTCTCAAACAGGCATGAGCCACTGTGCCCGGCCTCCTCAGAGTTTTTTTAATGTGGGGTGGGGGTGTTAAGGAGTAAACCAGAAGGTTCCTTTTCCTTCTATTTTCTTATAATTTCCAGCCCCCAAAGCTGGGTGACTCCGTGATGCCACTGGCCTCCCCTTGCCCTCCACCCCAGATTCCTATGACACCCCTTTCACCTCGAGAGGAGAGAAGAGGGAGGCAGGTAGGGTGGACTGGAATAAACACCTCGGGAGACATTCTCATGTTCAGTGAATTTGCTCAGAATGAAATTAAAGCCCTTGAGGAAGGAACTGGAATACCCCTGACCTTATCGCCCTCCACACCAGTGCAGGATTCCACTAGGCAGGAACCAAGGAGAAAGGTGCCCCAGACCCGGGACGAAGCAGGAGCAAAGGCCTGGAGGCGGGAAGGTGCGAGGCTTTTTCTCTCAGGTGCTATATTTTTTCTAAAACTGTGTGCAGATCTCACAACCACAGTTATTACATTTTGAATGCTTTCTATGCATCAAGCGTGATGCTAAACTGTTACCGTCAATCACTTCTTAAATCTCCATGAAAACCGGTCAACTTTCCCTTTCCCTCCTTTTGGCTCTGTCGGAGTTTTAGATCTTCAAAGGCCTCCCTGACCACGCTGCTTAAAGCTGTCATCTCTCCCTCATCCCTACCGTTTTTACTGCACCCCCTTGTTTTTTCTCTTTCTTGGCAATTGTATTTGTTTCTTGTGGCTGTTGCAAGAAATTACCACTGCCTTAGAGGCTTCAAACCAGGCACATTTATTACCTTATGGTCTGTAGGCTAGCGGTCCAATGTGGGCTTTATCATGCGACAATCAGGGCATCAGCAGGGCTGTATTCCTTCTGGAAGCTCTAGGGGAGAATCTGTTTGCTCTGCTTTTCTGGCTTCTAGAGTCACCCACATTCCTTGCCTCCAAGGTCCCACCTTGCCTCATGGTCAAAGCCAGTAGCACCTGGTGGAGTCCTCCTCATGCTACTATCTCTGTTCTTGCCTCTTGCCTTCCTCTTCCTCGTCTGCTTTTTTTTTTTTTAGATGGGGTCTCACTCTGTCACCCAAGCTGGAGTGCAGTGGTATGATCTCGGCTCACTGCAAACTTCACCTCTCGGGTTCAAGTGATTCTTCTGCCTCAGCCTCTCAAGTAGCGAGACTACAGGTGCATGCCATTACGCCTGGCTAATTTTTGTATTTTTAGTAGACACGGGGTTTCACTATATTGGCCAGGCTGGTCTCAAACTCCTGACCTCGTGATCTGCCCATCTCAGCCTCCCAGTGTGCTGGGATTACAGGCATGAACCACAGCACCCCGTCCTTCCTCTTTCACTTTTAAGGACTCCTGTGATGCCAGAGCCCATCCAGATAATCTAGGAAAATCTCCCTAAATTAAGGTCAGCTGACCAGCAATTCTTAATTTCATCTGCCAACTGAATTCCCTTTGGCCAAGTAATGTAACACATTCCCTGATTCTGGGGTTAGGACATAGACATCTTCAGGGGCCCATTATTCTGCCTGCTACTGTAATGAGCATAGTTTGTAATTATTTATTCATTCGTTTATTTGTGTTTTGTGAGGTCTGTGACAGCAGGGGCCGGCCTGTGCTGCTTTGAACCCACCTTTCCAAAATTATGACTGAGACAGTGAAAGAGATCTAACTTAACTGATTTCATCTAGCTTCTAACCTCCACGCTGTCCTCATTCATCCCTGAGCATAGGGTGAACTATCTTTGGAAGAAATTTAATTTGTAGTTTATAGTTTAAACAAAGACGGTAACACCCCTTTCCTGAAGCTGGTCTCCTTCTGCCTGGGAACTAGGCTAACATTAGTCACAAGAATAGAAATTATGGTTTAGGAGGCCAGCACAGTGGCTCACACCTGTAATCTCCGCACTTTGGGAGGCCAAGGCGGGAGGATCACCTGAGGTCGGCAGTTCAAGACCAGCCTGGCCAACACGGCGAAACCCTGTCTCTACCAAAAATTGAAAAATTAGTTGAAAGTGGTGGTGGGCACCTGTAATCCCAGCTACTTGGTAAGCTAAGGTAGGAGAATCACTTGAACCCAGAAGGCGGATATTGCAGTTAGCTGAGATCACGTCATTGCACTCCAGTCTGGGCGACAGAGCGAGACTCCATCTCCACACTAGTATGATGACTTATGTCAAAGCAGAAAAAAAAAAAAAGAGACTCCATCTCCAAAAAAACAAGAGCAAAACTTCGCCTCAAAAAAAAAAAGATTTTACTTTTGCTGGGCATGGTGGCCCTTGCTTGTGATCCCAGCACTTTGGGAGGCGGAGGCGGGAGGCTCACTGCAGCCGAGTTCAAACCAACCGTGGGACCTATTGTGCCACTGCTGGCCAGCCTGCCCCCATATACATATGTATGTGTATGTGTGTGTGTGTGTGTGTGTGTGTGTATTTTTTTTTTTTTTTTGAGATGGAGTCTCCCTCTGTCCCCAGGCTGGAGAGCAGTGGCACGATCTTGGTTCACTGCAACCTCTGCCTCCCACGTTCAAGCGATTCTCCTGCCTCAGCCTCCCGAGTAGCTGGGACTACAGGCGTGCGACACTACGCCCAACTAATTTTTGTATTTTATTAAAGACGGGATTTCACCTTGTTGGCCAGGATGGTCTCAATCTCTTGACCTTGTGATTCGCCTGCCTCGGCCTCCCGAAGTGTTGGGATTACAGGCGTGAGCCACAGCGCCTGGCCAATTGCTTTTCTTTCACTTTTGCATATTTTACAAAGCACACGCCCATGTGAGCGCACTGCCAGCCCCCTCGCCCCCGAGAAAAAAGTGGGGACCCTGTCAGCAAGGATGCCGCTTAAGTCCCTGGGGTTCTCCAGAGAAGGAGAAGGCTCTGCAGAGCCACGTGCCCTGGACAGAAAAACTTTGAAAGTAATTCAACAAAATACAAACTTGTCGAATTACGTTGCAGACCGCGCGTGCGGAGCAAATGTGTGTCCACGGAACATTAGTGGGCACAAGAGGAATTCCCCCGTCAGCTACCAGGACCGTGGATGCCCTGAGGCCGAGTCACCCTCCCCTGGGATAAAGAGGGCAGGGAGCGCTCAAAGGCAAGGGAGGGCGGGGGGAGGGGGGCAGAATAAGGAACTGAGGTAAAAACGCCCAGTACTGGACTCCCCTCAGAGCGGCAACGGGACAAGCCCTAGCGCAGCTTAGGGGGCTCGAACCCAGGCTGCCAGCCCCGCCCCCAGCAGGCCCCGCCTTCCGCTGCTAGCCACCGCCTCCGTGAAAAAAAAAAAACAAACCGGTAACCTCTACCCGGCCTCCTCCCATTGGCTATGAGAGTGAGCGAAGTCCGCCAGGACCAATGAGCCGCAGCCACGGCGTGGCAAGCGCCTTCCGGCCCGCCCCCGCGCGGCCGCCCGGCGGACTACCGGACCGTCCTGGGGCGGGACGTGGGCGCGGGGGCGCGGCGCGCGGCACGCGGCGAGGCTGAAGCGGCGGCGGCGGAAGGACTGCGCGTAGCCCGGCGCTCGGCATGGCTCTTCTTGGGCTCGGTAGGTGCGGGCCTGCGGCGGGAGGCCGGAGAGCCGGGTTCGGCCTGAAAGATTTCCAATCTCCAGGCCGTTCCCCGGCGGGCCGCCGCCTGGAGGAGGCCGGAAGCGGGCCTGGCGGGCGAGAGACGTGGGCCTCGGCGTCCAAAGGAGCTGCGAGTTTGCCCTGGCGGAGGTGTTCGGGCTCCACGAGGACGCCGGTGCGCGGAGACGAGGGCGCCCGTGGGGAGGGGCTTCCGCAGCCTCGCGGGGCGGTGAGCCGGAAGCGGGAGCCTAGTGCGCTAGAGTCGGGCGCTGAGTCCGGAGCCGGGCGGGAGAATTGCGGAGCCCAGCCCCGGCCGGATCCCGGGAAGGGGGTCGGTATTCCGGGCTAACCGCAGGGGACCCTGTTCTAGGCGTCTTCTCGAACTCCTGCGTGGGGACGGAGGGTGGCGGGCGCCCCGCACTGCAGCTCGTTTCTGCTACCTGTTTTTTGCAGCGCCTACTTTTAAAAACTGAAATGTTAGATCTCAGTGTTGAAATAAAGACCCATAGTTGCCTTAGAAAGGGAACAGTGCCCTCCAGAAACCGGGCTTAAGACGCAGGGGCGCTTCACAGGTGATCAGACTCCTTACTAAAGAACTGGAAGCCGGGCTCTTAGAAATTCTGTAAATGCTTCAGAGACTACGGTTGGCGAGGCCGAGGGGCTTGTCCTTCCTGGGCTCGCCCTGATCACAGCCTTGGCTCTGAGAGTCCTTTACCTCGGCTCTGGCCTCAAACCACCTGCCCCCTATTGACTGGCTGTGTGACTCGGAGCGAGTTACTTAACGATTCTGTGCCAATGCCTTTTCAACAGTGCTCACCATTTTAGAGATTGGTAATAGTACTCCCGTAGGGTTGTCCTGAGGATTAGTGAGTTAGTACATATATGTCTTTTCGCTTGTTTTTTGACACAAGGTCTTGCTGTATTGCCCAGGCTGGAGTGCATTGTTTCCATCATTGATCACTGCAGCCTGGAATACCTGGTCTCAAGGGATCCAGGCACACGCCACCACACCTGACTAATTTTTAAATTTTTTTATAGAATCAAAGCCTCACTATGTTGCCCAGGCTGGTCTCAGACTCCTGGCCTCAAGTGATCCTCCCTCTTCCACCTCCCAAAATCCCGGGGTTACAAGTGTAAGTCACCTCACCCAGCTAGCACATGTTTAAAAAGATGTAAATATTTGCCATATTACTGTGGAGAGAGTAGATGCGGGGAAAATATTTGAGTCTGTTTAGTTTCTTATGAGTGAATTCATACTAGACCCTGAAAGAGTCTGTGAGTCTATCAATTAACTCATTTTAATAAATGGCAGCCTTTTTGGGAAACCTCTCGGTTTCTAGATGACTGCTCTGGGACCGTAGACTCCTCCTAGCAGATGTGGGACGGAGATGTTACTGATGTGAATTTATAACATCCTTAACTGCCGTGGAGGAATGGAAAACCACAGATGGCAGAGCCATCTGCTCACATAGATTCTAGACACTCGCTCGGATGGTCCAGTTTCCCATTGGTGCTCATTATCACTGAGTGGAATGGTGATGTGAATTTTAGAAACAGCATCATTGGTCAGCATTGACCTACTTTGTCATCTTAAGTGAGCCCAGGGTTTTTTGTGTTCTTGGAGGTTGGAGGTAGTTGTTGGCTACTTTTATGCAGTCAGGATGTCCACATCTTTTGTCTGTTCTTTCTCAGTAGTACGTTTGGTTTCCTTCTAACCCTGCTAGGTCACATTGCCTTTTTAGGAATTTTAGTCTCAAATCTTAATCATAACGTTTTCATTGGGTAGCCGTGTACAAGCAGCGGAGGCTCTTATGAGAATGAACTAGGCAAAATTTAAAGACAAACGAAGGTGCATCACCACAACTAGAAAAAAGAAAAATAACCCAAGTCTACGATGATACTGTCAATAATGAGTGTGGGAAGCACGTTCCTAAGGAGAAAAACCCTGGTCCTTTCAGATGACTGCAGCCCACTTGTAACAGCATGAAGAGGAGAGGACTGATTTTATTGCTGTCCTTGATTGGCAAAGAGAAGTGATGGTACCTAATTCTGCCCCAGTCTACCTGATGATGCTCTGTGGGATTATACCACTGCATTCTCCAGCCCTTCTGTTAGAAATTCGGGTCTATATGATCTTAGGCAAGTTATCCTTTCCCTGTAAAGTTTCCTGGTCCATGAAATGGGCATCATAACACATACCACATAGGGTTCTTAAGTGAGTTAACATCTGCAAAATGTTTAGAACAATGCCTGGCAGAGTCACGCGGGTGTTGTTGTTTTGTCTTGCCAAAAAAAAAAGACCCCAGTTTCTGGAGTGTAGTTGGACAGGTATCTGAGAATGTTGGCCATACTCCCCAATCTCTCTTCTAGAATCTATCTTGCAGAAACAGTCATACTAATTTGAGAGGCGGAGGAAAGTACAAGAATTTTCCGTGCTGGGCTGTTAGTGAAAAAGTCAGTCAGTAGTGGATTGACTAAATGGTTCAGCCATTAAAAATTATTACATTGGAATAGTTTGAAAATTCTTAAGTAGAGGGCTGGCCTCGGTGGCTCACGCCTGTAATCCTAGCACTTTGGGAGGCCAAGGTGAGCGAATCACTAGGTCAGGAGATTGAGACCATCCTGGCCGTGGTGAAACCCTGTCTGTACTAAAATACAAAAAAAATTAGCCGGGCGTGGTGGCACGCACCTGTAGTCCCAGCTACTCAGGAGGCTGAGGCAGGGGAATGGCTTGAACCCAGGAGACGGAGGTTGCAGTGAGCCGAGATTGTGCCACTGCACTCCAGCCTGGCGAAAGAGCAAGACTCCATCTCAAAAAAAAAAAATTCTTAGTAGAAAAATCTGTAACTTATTCTTTTGCTTTTCCTTTTTTTTTTTCCTTGGTGGCAGAGTCTTGCTCTCTCACTTAGGCTGGAGTGCAGTAGTGCAATCTTGGCTCATTGCAACCTCTGCCTACCAGGTTCAGGTAGTTCTGTGCCTCGGCCTCCCAAGTGGCTGAGATTACAGGTGCCCGTCACCACGCCCAGCTAATTTTTTTTGTGTGTTTTTTTTTAGAGACAAGGTTTCACCATTTTGACCAGGCTGGTCTTGAACTCCTGACCCCATGATCCACCCACCTCAGCCTCCCAGAGTGTTGGGATTACCGGCTTGAGCCATGGCGCCGGGCCTGCTTTTTCATTTTTAAACATTTCACAATAGGCTCAATGTATTGAACTAGTACCAAATTCATATCAATTTTACAAAATAAAATTTTTTTTTGAAATAGTAGATGTCTATAGAGGACTGTCCCCTTTTTTGTTTTTTGAGACAGGGTTCCACATCAGCCTCCTGAGTGGCTGCAGCTACAGGTGCACCTTACCACACCCAGCTAATTTTTGCATTTTGTATTTTTTTTCTCTACAAGAGATGGAGTTTTGCCATGTTGCCCAGGCTGGTCTCACACTCCAGTGCTCAGGTTATCCACCTGCCTTGGCCTCCCAAAGTGCTGGGATTGTAGGCCTGAGCCGCCACACTCAGCCTCAGTCTTACTTTCAAGCTTATTCAGAGTTCTGACTGTCAGTGCTTATGTTTTTGACTTACTTGTTTTGTCAAACATGTCAAACTCTTACTTCACCTTTTCTTCAGCAATTAAAAGATTAGTGAGCAGCACTATCCAATAGAAATATAATGCAAACGTGTATGTAATTTAAAATTTTTTAGCAGCTACATTTAAAATGGCCAAAAGAAACAGGTGAAATTAATGTATTTACTCAGTATATCTAAGATCATTTCAACATGTATTTTCAAAATGAAAAATAATACTGAGGCCAGCCGCGGTGACTCATGCCTGTAATCCTAGCGCTTTGGGAGGCTGAGGTGGGTGGATCACCTGAGGTCAGGGGTTTAACACCAGCATGGCCAACATGGTGAAACCCCATCTCTACTAAAATACGAAAATTATGGGCATGATGGTGGGTGCCTGTAATCCCAGCTACTCAGGAGGCTGAGACAGGAGAATCACTTGAACCCAGGAGATGATGGTTATGGTGAGCCAAGATTGCACGCCACTACACTCCAGCCTGGGCAACTCAGCAAGACTCTGTCTCAAAAAAAAGAAAAATGATAAAGAGATTACATTTTTCCCTCTGTTAAGTCTTCAGAATTCATTGTGCTTTTTACCAACACATCTCATTTTGGGGTAGCCAGATGTAGCTGGTGGCGATCTTGCTGGACAACACTGTTATTGAGGGAGCAGCCCCACTTTGGTTGGCCTGGCCTCCAATCACAGGCATCCTTTCCCACCTCCTGAAATGGAAAAGGAGGTCGTCCTATCAAAGGCTGCTCCATCACTGACTGGGTTCCCATGACCCCAGGCATTTTATTCGAATATTTGATTTATTTTATCTTTGGCCTCTCGCATTCTGCATAAGTCTTCCCCTCCTAGATCACTCCTATCGTTAAAGAGAAGCCTTCCTTGTTTTCTACATTTGCCTGCCTCTGGTCTCTGTAATGAAACCTGCTTAAAGAGTTACCTGTATTCTCTCCAATCTTGTGCAGACTAGATGCTTCTTATTTTCACTCCACCACAATTGCCAGGGCTCCAAGTGATTTCTTTGTCACTAAATCCAATAGATGGTTTTCAGTCTTTGCTACTTTATCTCCCAGTAGCATTTGTTAGTGAGGCCCCTCCCACGTGTATCTTGGTTTCTGTGACACCACTCTCGATAATTCTCCCAATCCACCTTCCGCATGGCAGCTGGAATACTCCTCCTAGAAAGCACAAATCTAATCTTTCCTCTGCATGATAACCCTTTAGTGGCTTCACTATTAGTAAAGTTCACAATTAGGTTCTT